ATCGGCTACATGAGTTTTAAAATATCGGCATATCGGATATCGGCCAAAATCCCAGTATCGTGCATCCCTAAAAAAAATCTAAAATGCTCAAAAACATTCCATTAGGAAAAAGGATTATTTGAAAAACTAAAATCTAAGAAAAGAGCAAAATAACTCATTATAATTAATACTTTTTCAATGATAATAGAACAAAATTGACTCCATACTTCAGAATCAGCAGAATAAATGAGGCAGGTTGTTCCTGAATGTTAAAGGGGATCCAGTGCAGGAAGGATAAGATGGGAGGAAAGGATCCTGTTAAAATCCTCGCTGCAGCATTTTGGAAAATGTTGCAACGTTTCCTAAGCAACCAGAAATGGTCTGTTCTCCGTGTTTCAGCTGAAATGTACTTTCAGAAGGAGTAAAGAACGACCTGCTGCACCCGACAGGAAGCTGCTGTTTAAATCTGTGAAAATGCTAATTGGCTTTCACTCCCCCCCCCCCCACAGAACACACATGCAGGACCTGCAGGAAGTGACCCAGGACCTGCACTATGAGAACTTCCGCTCGGATCGCCTCAAACGGGGCGGCAGGTTGTCTTCACATGGTTACGTTCTGCCTCTGTCTCCTGCGTACGTACCTGTCTGCTTGCTTGCTCTGTCCCCCCCCCCCACTGATAAAGGTCATAGCGGCCATGATGGCTGATGGTAGCTGTAGAGTCAGCTTTTCTTTAAATACTTCTGTTTTTGATGAGAAAGCATGACTAGCTGGATTATCTTTATGGATTAGAAACGGGATTAGGAGATGATCATGTAACGTAGCTCAGAGAAAGCATGACTAGCTGGATTATCTTTCGGGATTAGCCGATGTGATGTAACGTAGCTCCCTCATCATGATTTAACCTCCACATCAGATCAACTCAGGTTGTTTAGATGTGAGCTCTGAAGCCGACCACAGGGAGCGCTTCGCCATCCGTCCAGAGATGGCGCCGCTGTCTCCATCTGTGTCCTGGGGTGAGGTAATGTTTTCACCCATAGGGAGGGCAAGCTGTCCCCCCCCCCGGTTTTTATCGACAGCTATTTTACCCCATACCTTCGCCTCTCAATCTTCCTGCTTTCGCCTCTCTAGATATTAGCAGTAGAGGCAATCGTTTCCATCCAGAGCTAATCTAGAAGCTAACCCACTAACCA